CAGAGGGGCGTGGGGAGGGGCTCCTTATTTTCATCTAAAGTAACAGACAGAGAATCAGCACTTTGGAAACAGGGCTGAAACAGAGGGGATTATGGGTAATGCTGCAATGATCTGTTTGGTGTTTGGAGCCAAACACTTCAGAGACATGTTTTGTATATATCTGAGACCTGTAATATATTGATGAAAAACAGTATAATAGGGGACCTTTAAATGTCAGTTTACATTCAATGTAGGGTGTAGCTATGGAAGAATTTCACCTGCTGGGACGTGTGCAGTCCGTTAGCATGGCAGTAGCTAAGTAAGAAGGTAGTGCTAACACTAGTCAGGCTTGTTGGTGATTTGCTTACAAGAACAAATGAAAAGCCAACACACATTACAAGCGGTTAAACTAGCGTAGCAGTTGTGTTTCTATGCGGAGAGCGGAGCCGCTGGACAAAGTGAAAGTGTCTTGAATCCAAAATGCACCATCATCACAAACAACCCACAGAGTTCAGTGGCAAATAGCAGGCAGCTAGCAGCTGGTCTCCAGGCTGCTACCGACCTGTCACTCAAGGTGACCACACTCTAAATTATTAATAACTTCCAGATATGATATAATTTTAACGAGTTACATAAAATCGGGGAAATTAACTATAGAAAAAAGAACCATATTTTCATGCCAGGCTCTAAACATGTTTATAATCCACTGTAAAGTCTGACATTTTAACATGGGGTCTATGGAGATTGGCTTGTTCGGATTCAGCCCTCAAGTGTGCATTTAAGGAACGCACAGAACCAGACACACACACCGACACACACCTCAGCTTTGGACTTAATCTAGTGGTGGATAAGCTACAGCCTCAATCAAACAGTCCATTTCAATTGCAGACCTTTCTCCACTTGAGAGATAATTACCCCCATTATTCCATTGATGAAGAGGCACCTGAAAAATCCCTTTAATGTTTTACCCTCTTTGTATTTTAGAGCCACAACACCGCTTGCATCCTGCATAAAGCAAAAAGTTCTTTTTAAAAAAAAAAAAGGAGTAATGTCTGTGTGGGCGCTGGTTCAACCCTTAGAAACCCCAAATGTCCACCTGTGTCAAACTGAGGGAAAGGACCATTAAACGCCTAATGCTGCTTTTCAAAAATATCAATGCAACATAATCTATCCTAGATATGAAACGTAACGAAATAGAACGTTTTTTCTTCAAATATTACCAAAGTATAGTTCTTGTTATTCATTCATTTCAGCCCCTCTTTCCCTGCTCTTCCCCACAGAGGTTTCTTTGGCATGGTAGCCATCCTCATTTGTTTTGCAAACTAATTCAAGGCTATTAGCAGCTAGACCCATTAATTAGGCAGCCATTGGGGAGCAGAGGGAGTTCGTCACAGTGAGGTCACTGCAGGAGGTTTCCATTATTCAAATCTCTCAATGAGGTTCATGTAAACCTCTTACTACATAAACTATGAACCTATACAAGATATGTTCTAAAGCAGGGGTACTCAAACTTTTTTGATAAAGGTCCACTTGTGAACTTCATACAAGGTCACTGGTCCGGATCAATGTAAAGTCCCCCCAAATGGACCAATCCGGGGAGCACCTCACACACCGGGATCCCTTGGCTAACTAACAGGGAGTCCCCATTGACTTGCATAGAGCTCCCTGAACGCTGGTAATAGACCAGTTGGGATTGCGGAGAAACGCTCTCCGCAGACCCATTCTCACAGCGTTATCAACCTTTTTCTTACTCAATATCAAGCCACACTTATTGTTTTTACTTCGGCTGTGAGTGTTTGTGTGTGCTCAGGATGAGTTTCGCTTGTTCTCGCTGTATCGCCGACCCGGAAACCTGTCCGTTGCGAGCAGCAACGAGCCTCGCAACGTCCCGACCAATCAGAGCACACTGGGCTCACAGGGAGGGGGGGCAGGAGCTCCAACAAGCCGTTTAGGACAGAGAGTGAATACCTGGTGAATACACATAGAAGCTGTTTGAGAAACCAATGTGATTTGGGAAAATTGGACAATTTAAATCTATTCCATAGACTTCAACAATGGAAATATGATAAGTAGAAATGGCCATGACATGGGACCTTTAACATTTTTGGCATTCCTATTATATTCCCAACATATTTTATGGAGTCACTTATTAGGAGCAAATCTATAGAGACAGATTCAGTGGTGTTTTTAATCTCCTATGAATTCCGGGTCTTGAAATGACAGGCCACATTATAAATGAATATGCTGCTCTCTTCTGGCTTTTGCTATGAACTACAGATTGTTAACCACAAATAGAAACACAGAACAAATCTAACCTTCAGGACTAAAGTCTGAAGCCTGAAACAGGGTCAGTGGAGTCTCTGAAAGACAAGAAAAATACAAATATTGCAATAATACATACCCTATAGTGCTCTTCTCTTTTGATGCTTGAATCCAGGTAGGACAGGGTAAAACAAAGTCTTCTGTGACATGTTACAAACAACAATCTGACAAAGACCAACATAAGACCAGCACTTAAATACCAGCAGAACTAATCACGAGGGTACCAGGTGAAAATAATCGATCAATCAGGCATGAAAACACAAAGGGTGTTTCTCAATCTCAAGTACGCTTGCTTGGTAGCACATGTCTGCCAAGCATCTTGCTTCAGAAGCGAGGCAAGAATACTTCCTGGCATTCGGAAAATAAAGAGTGGAACAGGCTAGCAAGTGTGCAGGTGTGCTCATATGAGAGGCCCCGCCTTACATTTTCCGCAACAGATTTGAGGAAATTGGTCCGTGCGCAAAGCATTGTGGGGATTTTAAGACCGAGGAGTCTACACATGTGCAGTCTCGACATTTCTCCAAACGAAGTACGCCGGACTCGGTAGATTTCCAAGTATGCTGGACATTGGAACAGTACTTCGGCGGCACTCGATGACGTAGTGTGCTTGAAATAGTGGCTCTGGAGCAGAAATTTACTCGAGATTGAGAAACACCCAGAGACAGGAAGTAAAAACAGACATTTCACTGGGTGTTTCCAAAATCAAACAGGAAACACTGACAGATGATGACAATTTCAGACAATGTTCACAATTTAAAATGCATCCATCTCTGAACAGACTTCCCAAAACCAGCTTAAAACACACATATCATATAAACAGAATTATGGGGATTAAAGGATTTGAACTTTGTCCCTACACCTCCCACCTGAACGCAAAGCCAACACATCCTTAGTGAATCCTTCAATTGAACTTAAAGATCAAACTCACATCCACAGCTCATTAAATATACCGCTGATTAAAAGTTTAACATGCATGCCCACAAGCTTTTGAAGTTAGCATCAGTGGGATTCATTACTGTTATGTAATGACTAAAATTCCAATTATAATCCCTTACACTACTCGTTTCTAAAACAAATGATCTCATAAGTAAATTGTTAAGGTGTCCAACACATGCATTTCATTCCCATAATACTTAATGTACACATTACATTTGAGGAGTCCCTTAAAACCCTGAAATGAGTTATCATTTTACAATTCGTTCAATTCGTTCTGGGATTATGACCGTCGCCCCGCTCTGTAAATTAGGAAGGATTATGTTGATAAAATAATTAAAATCTTCAAAATTATCCCTTTAAGGTCAATTTCATGCAAAATTAAACATTTAATTTAAATAAATTACTAACGGCTTTCAGTAGTGGATTGTCTTCCTTCTTTCTTCTTCCCTTTTGTTCTTCACATATAAACCTTTCCTTTACTTCCCATAAAATACTATAAAGGTTATTGCTGATTAGAGAAGTAATACATTTAAATAAGTCATTCTTCCTCTTAATACAACGATAACATGATTATAAAATGTGATGACACTCAAGTACCCTGTGTTTAGAGGAATTTGAAAATGACTGAGATGAAAACATGAATTGTATTAATCCCATTAGGAACATAGGGTATTTGCACATGTTTTGCACTTCATTACAACATGAAACACTTAATAATTCTGACAACAACAAACACAGATTAAAAAATAAAAGAGTAAATCATAAATGACACATTTTCATCGCACATTTTTGGCAATATAATATATATTAAAACACATTTAGAAGTATAGATATGCCCCCAGACCATGTTTGAGGTGTTAGCTGGTCTCTATAATCACAGGAATGTATACATATACATGTTCCGATTAACCCAGCTTCCCCAAATGTCTTTCTTTTTGGTGTCTATATACGCCGGGATCCGGAGTCATGGATGATCCTGCGCTCCTCTGTCCTGGATCGCGAGCCCTGGATCTTGAGTCGTGGCTGTGGTCCTGGATCATAGGTCCTGGATGGATATCCTCGTGGATTCATCTTCCTATTATACACACATGCATTTCCAAACATTTGGACTACCTATGTTGCAAATGTATTATCTTTTCAATTTACACACGGCATCTATTGCACGTCTGTCCGTCCTGGGAGAGGGATCCCTCCTCTGTTGCTCTCCCTGAGGTTTCTCCCATTTTTCTCTTTAAACTGTGGGTTTTCTCCGGAAGTTTTTCCTTGTACGATGTGAGGGTCTAAGGACAGAGGGTGTCGTATTGTCATACTGATATTTTGTACAAACTGTAAAGTCCACTGAGACAAATGTAACATTTGTGATATTGGGCTATATAAATAAACATTGATTGATTGATTGATTGATTGATTGATACAGAAAAAAAACCGATTTGAAGATCAAAATAAATATCGGAGTTGTTCACAGAATTCAGCTTAATGTGCTAATGTATTTATTACAATTACTGTTTTAATACATATACACTCATTAATTTGAGTGTCTCAAACTGCAAACTTTAACTAAATAAAGTTCTTAAATATACATACTAATAATGGTGTTAAATCCTATACATTTAGTGGAGTAAAAGTAACATGTTTTAACTGAGATGTAGAGATATAGTGGAGTATTAATTAATAATCATGACCTGGCCACCATGTGAGCTTCTGAATGACTCAGTGATCATGCAGCCTCGCCCCCAGGCTCGTACACGCCGCCACCTCCAGTCACCCACACTCACACATATTCACACACATTCACACACACTCACACACTGCAGCTGTCTTCAGGGAGCAGAGTGCAGCCACACACCAGTTCCTGGAGATACACTATACAGAGAAAAGAACACAATATGAGAGTCAGCCTGCAAACTCTGATAAAATGTGAGTAACATTAATGCATGATATTTGACGTGGTGACTAGTCTTCAAATCTGATCTCTGTCCTTATAGATTTGTCAATGTTTCAAGCATGTCAGAATATGGGGATGAATACATCTAAAGTTAATCAAGATTATAATTGAATAATTTACTGAAATGTCAGGGAGGTAAAGGGAATGCAGACCACTTTAAAATGTCGACACCTCAACTCCCACGTGTGAAAAATGTATTTCTTACTATTTATTGTAGCTCTTAACCCTTGCAATTGTTAGAAATCTCTCCAAATGTTACTTAAGTTGCTGCTTGCGGGAGACCTCTTTCCTATTTACAACTATGTTAGGTTTGTCTAATACTTTGTCACAATTTAAGTTGCAGGTTTTCTCAAGAACAGTTCTTCTACCGGTTGCAAGAGAGTGTTGCAAGATAAATCTCACTTTAAAGGTTATAAATCAATCTCCCAGGCTGGGGTTAATGTTACACAACTGAATGCTTATATATTGTGTCTTGATGACTTTGATGGCAAGCTCTAAAATCTCTGTTATCTAACAACCAAGTCATGCACATCGGATAGATTTAGTTGTTGTACTTTTCGTGTCTTGGTGATCATTAAACAGATTTGCTGCTGCACAGAGGCAGGAAATCCTTTTTGACGCTGAACTAACCACCGTGCTGTTTTGAGACCTGTGGTTAGTAATGGAGGTTTTACAACACAGTATATTATGTTCTGACTTTTGAAGTTGGTTTCAAGTTATTATTATGAAGTGACTTTCTCTCTAAACTTTTCTAAAAAGACTTAATTGAATGAACAGTGACAAACATGCTGACTTCCTATTCATTTAAAAACTGTTAAAGACCCTGCCTCCCTTTTCTATAGCATTCTGCTTCATATGACTGCTAACTGTTAGCCACTCAAGTATTGTATTTCTTTACTTTCTAAAAGTGAAGATGAAAGATTTGAAGATAAATGCGTTAGTGGTCCAGCTACTGGACAATGGGAACATGGTGTCCAACCTCCAGCCCATTGTTACCTGTTGAAGATCTTTCGAAGATCTTTTTGTTTTTCTACATACAGTAAGCACACTCAGAATAAAGTTTTTTTTAAAAAAATTTTTTAAAATACCAAACAGATCCTGCATTTTAGCCCATGCCTCATTTCGCTCTATTTGCTCTTTCCAGCCCTGTTTTTGCAGGGGGCTGATTCTGTGAGCTGCAGCTGACCACGCCCCCCTGCAGGAGAGGGGAGCGTGCTTTGAGATCAGCTACTAGGCTGCAGCGGGGAGAAGAGGGGGAGAAAAAGAGATCTCCGTCCTCCGTGTTTTATTCTTATATGATTATATAGTCATTATTCATTTGTTTTAAAGCTCAATAAATAACAAAGAAGACCTTTGACCGGCACTTTTCTAATTTTGTCCGGAAGATTTAAACTTTAACGGACATGTTGACCGGCGGAATTTTTTTTAACTGAAACTCTGCCACACAGTCCCCTCGTCCCTTGGAAGAGGCGGAGAGGTGGGTGTTTGTCATCTGCTGGTGGATTACCGGAGAGAATTACAGCAAGGGAGGGATTGCAATGAATAACAACAGCCGGAGCAAACGCTTGCCTCGGGGAGGGAGAAAAAGAGCCACAGCGGAGAATAAACAGAAGGGCAACCATGGCAACCATGCAAGGGAAGTCTTCTTCGCTGCTTTTGTGGCAGACTACAGCGCCACTTAAAGGCCTGGCATAGGTACTACAGCGTCTCCAGCGCTTTGGAGCGGCAATGGCCGGCCGTGGCCCAACCCCACATTCCCCACTTTTGTGACGTAGAAAATAATTCAAATCTGGGTCAGTCTGTATCAGATCCGTGGCAGCCCCGTTTTTAGAGATTTGGGTATGGAGGAAAAGAGAGAGAGTTGTGTTTTCTGACACTTGGTGAGTTCCCTGGAACACCGGGGACACATAGTCATGTATAAAAGACGTACAAAAGTGCATTTTGCATGATAGGTTCCCTTTAATATTGACAATAACAACCGACCGTCGGGGTAGAGCATTTGCTTGGCATTTCCAGGTATTTCTCCACTGGTTGGGCCATGTTAACAATACCATGTAACTGTCACGTTTGAAGGGACGAAATCGTGACATCTTCATGTCTCCCAGCATGGTAAATCGTCACATGTTCACGTCTTTCCGTGATACCGGGTTGCATTTGTTATATGTATTTGTGAGCATGCTGAGTAAAGTAACCTTAATATACTGTGCAGTATGTGTCCCTTTAAGGCCATTTAAGATAATAACCATGCCATCATGATGTCCTAAGAGACTGTGGGGACTATACCTAAATAATAGCTATTGTATGCCCATAAATGTGTGAAATGTACTTTAAACTTACGTCTTTTGTCTTGAATTGCAGGTCTTTTGTTGTGCGCTGCAGTAACAACACAGGGGTCCATCACCCCCACCCCCCTGATAACAACTACTCAATCATCTACTGTCCCACATACAAACTCCACCAATCCTTTCACTTCAGCTTCTACGACAATTACAGACAGCACTGAGGTAAACAACACACACTTGATTTGTATTTTAAAACAACTAGCCAGTATTCTCTATCTTCTATCTCATTGTCATCCATCTTAACTGACCCACAGGGAACCAGCACCACCCAGACCTCCAGCCCTTCAACAACCACTGACCCCACCACCACCACCACCACCACCAACACCACCCAGACCCCCAGCACTACAACAACCACTGGCCCCACCACCACCACCACCACCAACACCCAGACCCCCAGCCCTTCAACAACCACTGACCCCACCACCACCACCAACACCACCACCCAGACCCCCAGCCCTTCAACAACCACAGGCCCCACCACCACCAACACCACCACCCAGACCCCCAGCACTACAACAACCACTGGCCCCACCACCACCACCCAGATCCCCAGCCCTTCAACAACCACTGGTCCCACCACCACCACCCAGACCCCCAGCCCTTCAACAACCACTGGTCCCACCACCACCACCCAGACCCCCAGCCCTTCAACAACCACTGGTCCCACAACCACCACCCAAACCCCCAGCCCTTCAACAACCACTGGCACCACCATCGCCACCCAAACCACCACACTGAAACAGGAAGAACACAAGTCCAATGCTCTAAGCTCAGGTATGCATTGATAAAAAGTTGTTTGTTTCATTACAATTTGCTCTAGTAACAGTGTGCACACTCATTTATATACTTACTTTTATTTTACACTCTAGAGTCTAGACCAGCGGTTCCCAACCTTTTTCAACTCAGGGCCCACTTAAGAATAACAAAAATATGTTTGCGGCCCACATTAAAACATAAACAATATGGAGGCTAAATTAAGTTCTGATTGGTCAATTCAGAACATGTGACACGTTGTTAGTCCAGTAGTAATGACTGTTGCTAAGGAGGATCAAGAAAGAGAAAGGATAAGAGTTTCAAATAAAAATAAATCTTAATAATGAAAATGTTTCCACACAAATCATAATGTTTTGCAAATTATTTGGCGGCGCACTTGCAATGCCTTCGCACAGGTTGGGAACTGCTACCCTAGACAATAGACCTTTTGAAAAAAGTGTATACTAGGCATAACAACCAACACGGAATAGGTTCCGTTTCCGTAGTCCACAGAAAAGTGAACCGTTCGAAGCATTTCAACCAAAACTAATTATTTTACGAACCCAACCTGCAAAGTTAGCTCCCAGCGGGAAACGAAAAAAGAATCCTTGACCTGAACCATGTAAGGAAAGAGAGGATGCAGTCTTGGGCGTAATAGTTACTTTTACAGGTATCTGGTCATAAACTCAAACAAAATGTTTCCCAAGAAGTGATTTGAAGGTGGCTCAGCCAAAAATAATCCAGAACCAAGACTAGCTGTTTAATTAAGACTTTTTTTTAAAAGCACAGTCAAAATATATTGCCATTAAACTGCGAACACTCCATCTGTGTTGAATACCCCACGTTTCATACATTGCCTAACGCTAAACACACCTTGGAAACCAACAAAGCACGGGGGATCACACCTTTTTGATTGAAAAGTCCATGCATCACACTATCTGTTCACGCCTCTCTTTGACCCCTTTAAGCAGTGACTGTGTTGATCTACATGTATAGTTAATTTTTTAAAGCAATACTTTTTTTTCAGACTTCCTGGTTTACTTTGCAGATGAGACTTTAACAGTTGAATCAGTGAAAAAGAACACCAGCTATTTGAAGTGCACCGGTTAATCCTTTCCTCAACCACTGCCCTAATTTTTGTCATGACATCCGCTCATTGCTACCACATCACTCAGTGTGGCAGAGCAGGCCAATCATTACAGGGTTTTTTGTGAATAACTTGTGTGATTTATCTTTACTTTTCAGGTTGTTGTATGTTCTGTCAACTCCTTTGAAAACATGGTTAGTTTTATCATTGGTCGGTTTTAATCATATTGATTTAAACTTTTCAAATACACAGCCTCTCAGCTCTCCACATCTTGCCATTCTTACTACTTGGTAAGGTGTGTATTTGTCCTGCTCTTAAGTGAGGAACTAAAGCCCCAACAAGTGCAGGTTTGAGGTGTTTACCTCTAACTAAGTTTGGACTGTGTCCCCGTTGTAAAATAACTTCCTTCCCGACATAATTGGAAATTGATGCTGATAATGACTCATAACTCTTAGGGTGTCTCTCTCTCTCTGTCGGTAGTTTTTGAACTTGACTGTTTCTACGTATGCTTCCATGAGATAAGGACAGTTAGACTGATTACAGTAAACACAGCAATGCTTTTTGTATGTATCAGTTGGGACACACCCTTTGAGGTGACTGAGTTAAGACCCTGGTTCCTCCAACTGAAATGAAACTTAAGAGCCTTATTTCCTAGAAAACATGCTGCATGGAAGAGATATACTGTAGACAACTGCTGTACTGTAAGGAGAACATTGATCCCATGACGTTGTCTCTAGAAGCATCAGGTTGACATTTTTTGGCTTAAATGAGATGTCTTAAATATTGTTGGGTTGGCTTAAAAGAAAGACAATCCAGGCAATCCAAAATCTAAAGAAATACATTGTAAGCAAGGAAAATAATTTAAAGCCTTAGTTTAAGTGGCTACATCATCCAAAATATTTTTTTCTAACATGTTGGCTTCTTACTTTTTACTAAAGTACCCAGTTTTTACATTTTGGAGTGCCTGGAAGACCTTCCTCTATATCAATTATTTTTCATTAGTATATTGTTAAATATACAGAGCAATCAGTGATCTCTTATAACCAAAATATTGGATCCATTTCCAACTAGGTACAGACATCCCCTCATCATTAATCATTTGAATAACTTTGTTGGTCCCTGAACTTTCCACGCCATCAATATTTTTGTATGTGTATTACATTGGTTTATGACCATAAACACATTTCCCATATTGTCACATTTTGAGATATATTCAATCTAGACAGACAAATCGGCTTAACAGTCGCTAAAATCCACCATACAGTACATGCTTGTTAGAATTATTCCTGCAATGAAAGACTCATTGGTGGCTTGGTCCTTTAATGTCAGAATGTATTTGCCATTAAGCTGACACCTGGTTTCCTGGTATCATTACCTCCAATGCCTCCAAGGTGTCTCATTTGTATCTGGTATATATTTGATTTAATCTCAACTGGTCAGTGCATGTTATTGTTTTTTTGTTTTCTTGTGGCCTGTATAAAACTTTGAACTTCACTTTTCTTTTTGAATGCTTAAGGTTATAATATAGTATTTGCATCAAGTTGTAGTTTGTCTGAAGTGGTTTCTGTGCCATTTAACATAGAAGGGAGTTTTCCAGACTGAGAAACACAAACCTTTATCTAACCTAACACTCCACCCACCAACGCTTAGTGAGTTCAAAGATCAGACATTTTAATTCCATGACGAGACTAAGATTGATGATCTACAGTAAACTAAGTCTACAAATATCTGACAGTTCCTCACATATCACTGTAACATTTTTACAAAGTTACCCATCACTTGTGTTCCTTCAGCCAAGTGACTTAACACAATGACCTTAGACAGTCGCTGCAAACTGCCTACAATCATTTCCCATGGCTTTGTTTATGGATGGAATTCTGCTTTTATATAAGAGGAGTGATCTATAGTGTCATTTCATCGGTATTATCTTGCACATATAAATAGAGCACCTTCCTGCTTGGCCAAGTTTCCAGCAACTAGATTAATAATTAATTCCTAAACTCAAAGGTCAACTTTTTGCCTGGAACAGGAATTATCTTTGGGTCATGGCACGTTGTTGGGCAAAGACACCATCAAGTTGTTCTTGATACAGTTAGAGATTTGGCAGGAGACGATTACAGTTGAGGCCATTCACTTACTGTACTTGTTTCTCTCAACTATGAGGCACGTTAAGGCGTGATGACATGACTTGCAACTTCATGCAACCCATGGATTGCACCTCGCACCTTTCCAAATACGGAGACAATTCTGTGAAGTTGTAGGCCTCAAATTCATTCTGAAACCACATTGTTGCCATGTTTTGTTAGGGTCATTGCTCAAATGGTAATCTCTCTTGGTCAGTCCTGCCGTAAACCATTTGTTAAGGACGATCAAATATCCAAAGTATTAGAAATTGCAAAAGAACAATGGTTCACACCCGATCAATTCTTATAATCGAATGATCTAACCCTAACCCTAACCCCTAACCCTAACCCTAACCCGTACATCTAATTGAATCCCAACTATGATTGACATTCATGTTTGGGATTAAATTGATTTAACAACTTTTATAAAGTTGCAGATGTATTGCCATGGAATTTGATGCGCTCACATTGCAGTTAGACGATGGCTTGGTCCTTACAATGTGGTTAAATTAATCCAAACTAACACTAAAGAACGGCTAAAGATGGAAGCTACATTGCTCTCCTTGTTGTAGTTATGTCTTTAAATAGCAATAGGTTTTTCTTCCATTTTTCAGAGGAGTGTAACAGGCAAAAGAGAAGCAGGATTTGAGATGGTGAAATAAAAACATGATTTTGAATCAGAAGGAATATCTTCAGACTTATCTTCTATGTCTTTCTTTTTGTCTCATTTCAGGAAGTATTGCAGTGATTATTTGTGTGTTCCTCATCACCGTCATAGCCGTGTTGGTTGGTCTGTACTACTACAGGATCCGGTGAGTCCATTAGTAGTACATTATTCTACCGTCAATGTACTAAAACGTTAGTGATGACATTTTCTGGCAACTGTTACACACTGGAAAAAATGCTGCTCCAAAAACAAGTTAACAAAAATGAAAACAAGCTGTTTTCACTTGAATTAAGTTAAAAAATCTGCCAATAGAACAAGAGAACATTTGCTTGGTAAGAGTTCTTGAAATAAGAAGGGATATTTAGATAAATCAGATCTTGTAATTAGCTGGGAGAACTTATTTTGAACTATATTTGACCAGAATCAGGACATTTTGTCTTAAGCCGCAAATGCTCAAAAAATTCTGTTTTCTGATTTTAGTTGGTGATTTTCTAATAAATATGTAAAAAAATATGTGTTTCATCTGAGATACAACTCAAAATAAGATTTGTTTACTTAACAAGATGATGCATTGTCTAAAAACAAGACCCAATATCTCACAGCATTGTTACTTGTGAAGTTATTGTGTCTTATATCAGGTGTAAATTCATATTATGATTAGATATTAGACAAATATACTTGGCAGGATTTCGAGTTTTTGTAGTGCATCAAAGATCATATTCATATTAAAGTAACAGCATCAGTGCTCTTAGCATCCCAGAGGAAAGTCAGTCCCTTTTGGGTGAATCAGGCATAGTTCATTCAAATCACAATGAAAGATTATTTTTTCCGGATAGTTTTGGTTTTGTTCGTGGATGTTTTTGTTCTCTCAAGTTTCTGCCTACACAATGAAGATGAATGGAGTTTGTTGAAGAACCAAACGCATGATTGAATTATCTCACCAAGCCGTAACATGTTTTGTTTAATAAAGTAAATATGGTGTGATCAGGTCTCATACTGACTGTTCATACCAGAGAAATGAATAGATAAGATAATGTACTTTATTGATCCCCAATTGGGAAATGTTTTCGAATAGAAACTGTTCAAAACCAAATTGAATTTGACCAATGAGATTATTTTTATTTCACATGTTCTTAAGACTACGGTCATCAAATCTTTGCTACAGAATATTTTAGAGGGATTTCTTGTATTTTTCTTCTCAAGTCAACCTTTTCTCACTCTGTTTTCTGCTCTCCTTCTCCGTTCCAGACGAATATCTTACAACCATCTTTTGGAAAGCAACGAACACTTTTTTGTAAACTTCAGCAACCCCATGTATGACCCTTAGATCTGAACCTTTGACCTCCGACTACGGAAGAGATCCAATTAACTCAAAGTTCGCAGGAGACCTTCTGATCAGAGTGTGTGCAAAGTGTGTGGCGAATGAGTTCAGCACGGTCACTTTTTAAAACTGACATGCAGCCTTGATTAATGCAAAATGCAAAAATAAATGACTTTTAGCCAAACACTTTGTGTTGCTAGGTGTAGTAACTATGGTGATTTGTTATATTTGAATGCACCTGCCAATTACCTGAGCAAGTTAGATGCTGCGTATCACAGTGCACTGAGATTTTTGACAAATTGTAAAGCACTTACACATCACTGTATACCAAGGCGGTTATGCCATCACTTACTGTACGGAGGCTCAGTCACTGGTACTTTTTCATTTACAAAGCCATGTTGGATAAACTACCATCTTATATCTGCTCCCCTGATCTCTCTGCGAATTGAAAGTACTTATTGCCTGAGATCGCATGCTGTGGTTTTATTAAATGTGCCAAGTGCTAGGACTGTCTTAGGGAAGAAAGCTTTTAGATGTGCAGCTCCACTAACATGGAACAGTCTGAAAAAAGAATGGAAAATTACCAAGCTAGTACCACTACATGTTTTTAAAGCTCGGTTGGATGCTACACAATCAGATGCTGTTGGTACCTGTACATGTGGTTAAATATGTAAATTGTAATCCCTGTACATTTTGCTGTATGATGTCCTTTTGTTGTTCTGTTGTTTATGTCTTCTTGTGGAACCTACTGCTGCAGGTCTCCCTTGAAAAAGAGATCATTGATCTCAATGGGATTTTACCTGGATAAATAAAGGTTTTGAATTGAATTGAATTGAGTAACCAAGGTAGGACATTTGTACTCAGATAGCTTTTAAAACAGCTCTGGCCGTATTTTCACAGCGCAGAATCATATTACTAAAACTCATTATAAACATGTGTATCAGGGGTATGATGAATTTCTCAGGATACTGGCATCTAGACTTATAAAAACAATAAGAAGCCAACCAGGATGCTTGAACAGTAAAACAAATGAAGTGCAATTTATGAAACAAATTAACAGCAGATCAAAAATATTTTAGATTTATCATAGATTGTTTTATAGGCAAACAACTGAGGTAATTTGTTCCCACTTACTGTGAATCGATAAGATGTCCATTGCAAACGTATGTTCACAGTCAGTTGAAATATGACTCATGTTGATAATCAAGCAATTCAATTATGTATTTTGAGAAAATGGAGATGCTGTAAAAAAAAAAAAAAGGGTTAGTTTGATTGAAGTGTTGGGTTATTCCATCCAAGGACAAACATACAGTCACACACAGTCCATTAAAGTGAGTATGAGTTGTTTTCATATCACACAGACACTGAAGTTTCCTCGAGCGAAACACTGAATCCCTTCCTGCTATTCAGCTGAGCCTAAACTTTGACCTATCATTCGAGGAACCCAACAAGACAGCAATCATGTTAGGAGGGTGAATTTACAATAACTATTGCCTAAATATAATGTTGGGAATTGAATTTGGCTCCCTGATACCTGATCAACTATTGTATTTATTATTGTGTAGGTATTGATTGTGTATAGTGTAATGTTTTTTTCAGTGAGATTTTGCTTCGCTTAGGAGCTTAGGCCTTTCTGATATCTTGAATATTTAATACATTATTGTTTGTTTGCATTCAGGTGAAGAATAATGTGACAATATTTTATTGTGAGATATGATTGTATTTAATTGTTTGTGTAATAAAGCCATTAAGAAAGACTGTAAGTCCCTGTGATGGCCGTGTAGGGGAATCTCAGGGAGAAACGTTGACGACTGTGAACACACAATGATCGAGTCATTGGTGGCAGACTTTCATTTTCCTGTCCAAATGATTTGATTTTACTTTTGAGTCTTCATCTAGCAACCATCATCAATCAAAATTAGGATCTGTGAAGAACTTCAGTTTATGACCTATACAAATAATAACATTACCACCAACACAGCAGTACTTTGTGTAGTGCAACACAGTTTACATTATACCTGCTTGATTTTAGCACGTTAGCATTTCCGGAGTGAACACGTTACCATGCTATAGTTAGCATTGCGCTAACAATTACAGCCTCAGAGAGCAGTTAGCATGGCCATACAATCAATCTTTTTCGAAGCTTCCTGGCTTTGTGTTTTGGCACAACATGAGGTTGTTTGTTGGGATATTTATAACAATAATCTAAGTCATAATTCTATTTGCTGCACATTTTGACCTACGGAAACGTAGCCACTTCAGTAATGTTAATATAAAAGTGGGGCTAGAAAAAATAAATCGGTACATTAATTTGTTCAATTAGAAATGATAGAGTCATGAAAAATAATCTTTAGGGTTCAGATCTTTATTTCTGTTCTGCAAAATATCTAATGTAGCTATCTCAACCGAAAAGCATGGCCGCTTTAAACATGTGATACTGTAAACAGTGTTTACTTAAAACAAACATGGATGCTGAGGTTCAGTTCAGCACAATATCTTCAGCTCCTCAATGGGCTGCAGAGCATGTATTAGTGGAAGCTTTAATAACTGTCCTGTCATCACTGCCCTCCCATCGTATCTGCTCCCATTCTTTATCTTCCTCAAGCCCCTCTCATAAGGCATCTTCCTCTCGTGCCCACGCTCTTCTTCTCTCTCCCTATTTCACCCAACACCATCCGCCTCATGTTGTTTGTCCAACCTCCCATTTTCATCTCAATTGAAATGCACACAATATCAACTCTGGCTTTGTTACTCGTGTAATTTAAAGAAAGCGACTCATCTATTGTTGTCTTTTGGCCACAACATTCAGAATGGCATTAGTGCTAAAATACTGTAACTGAACAATCATTAACTGTGTGCAGAAATAACTGAATATATCCAGTTATGTTCATCTCTTTCGTGTTACAGTTTAACACTTCATTTTCTAATTTGTTCTAAGGTTTACTTCCTGTTGTCTTCATTTCAGATCTTTTCAGGTAAAAGTAGAAATGCTATCATGTAAAAACTGCTTCTATTTCTTAAATATTGCATATAAAACATATACATTTCCTTGATTGATGACTGTATGCATGCAATGGACTAAGATGTAATTAAAATTAAATAATGTAATGCACCAAAATAATTAAACTTGCACCAAAAAGTACAATGCACTATTTATTGTTTCCTCTCTCTCTGTCTCCCTTATATGTTCAACTTGATCAGCGCATTTTTCGAAAAATTATAAATGATATCAAATACTCAAGTACTTGATGTACAAAAGCATAGCAGTGTAAATGTTCTTAGTTACTCTTCACCACTGCTACAGCCCCGCTGTATGTGTCCTTGTTACTGGGCAGCAGCAGTAATAATAGAGGGAGCAGATTTCTGTGATGCACAGCTATTATCAGGCCTTAAATACTCCAAGCAGTGTGTGTGTGTGTGTGTGTGTGTGTGTGTGTGTGTGTGTGTGTGTGTGTGTGTGTGTGTGTATGTGTGTGTGTGTGTGTGTGTGTGTGTGTGTGTGTGGTGTGTGTGTGTACAACAATAACAACAATATTAGCAAACACCAGGAAACAAAAACCATCGATGTTTCATTTATCTGGAAAGTGGTCATAGGTTTTACTTTCTGCCTCATGGGAGACCGACTCATTTTACACAGTTTAACAGACAGCTACACAAAACTGGTTAAATATGGGTTCAGAAATGGGCATTTGGTGTTAGCAATGTGAAGTGTTTCTCTTCATGTGTAATGTTAGTGACTTTTACCACCAGTAGATGTCACTAATCATGGTTAGTAACATACGAGTTTCAATGCAGAGTGTGAGGAATACAACATATGAGTGTGTGTGTGTGTGGTGTGTGGTGTGTGTGTGTGTGTGTGTGTGTGTGTGTGTGTGTGTGTGTGTGTGTGTGTGTGTGTGTGTGTTGTGTTGTGTGTGTGTGTGGTGTGTGTGTGTGTGTGTGTGTGTTGTGTGGTGTGTGTGTGTGTGAGCGTGTGTGTGTGTGTGTGTGTGTGTGTGTGTGTGTGTGTGTTCTGAAAACTGAGCCCTTTTTTAAATTGATTCGCCTTTGATATTTTGTTAAGGTACAGCGTAGCTAAAATATATTTGTTCTGCATTTACAGTATAAGATAAATTCAGCATTTTATTTTTCATTTATTGTTATTAATATCCCAAATGTATTAAATGTAATCCTCTACTCAAATAATAAGAAGGCCAACCTGGGACCTGGCTGTTGCTTAACATTCAGTGCCGCCTTGGAATAAACTGTACATTATATTTGATTACTGATTTGATAACTACAGATGTAGCAACACTTGAGGAGAGAGTGTCATTAGCTGGCAGTAATTCTTAGAGAAAATATGGCACAATGTGCTCGATACACAGAGATGCTGTCCGACTTTGTGAAACAGGAAGAGGCCTTTTCTCTCTATCATGTTTCACTTGCTCAAACAGTTTGAAACCACAGTCTGACAGCATGCAGTATAAACACAATAAGAGAGGTGGCTTACATCCGGCTTAATATGACATATGTATTACTGTGACAACTAAACAAACTATTTTTTAAAGATTTACCATTTAAATGAACAATAATATATCAGAATAATAATCAGTCTGTTACATAGACAATGGGATTCTCTTATAATCATAGAGAAATTACATTCTTTATACATATGATGCCGAAGTAAATGTGTGTATGTTCCCTATACTGTAGTTTAATATATGTATGAATGCATATTGTGTAATGTATGGTGCCTCGTACTCTATGAGTTATACAGTATCTATTTGTGTCTGTTCCTCTTTTCCCATTTCTAATGATACTTAGAATAATTGTTGCAGTTATTTAGTCATAATCCATCAGGTACAAATCCTACAGTTGACCTGCACTAGAGAAAAAGAAAGTATCCAGAGTTATAACAATTCACATTTATGGCACCATAAATATTAGCAAACACCAGGAAACAGAAACCATCGATGTTTCATTTATCTGGAAAGTGGTCATAGGTTTTACTTTCTGCCTCATGGGAGACCGACTCATTTTACACAGTTTAACAGACAGCTACACAAAACTGGTTAAATATGGGTTCAGAAATGGGCATTTGGTGTTAGCAATGTGAAGTGTTTCTCTTCATGTGTAATGTTAGTGACTTTTACCACCAGTAGATGTCACTAATCATGGTTAGTAACATACGAGTTTCAATGCAAAGGGTGTGAGGAATTCAGCATATGAGTGTGTGTGTGTGTGTGTGTGTGTGTGTGTGTGTGTGTGTGTGTGTGTGTGTGTGTGTGTGTGTGTGTGTGTGTGTGTGTGTGTGTGTGTGTGTGTGTGTGTGTGTGTGTGTGTGTGTGTGTGTGTGTGTGTGTGTGTGTGTGTGTGTGTGTGTGTGTGTGTGTGTGTGTGTGTGTGTGTGGTCTAGCATTACTATACCTGTGGGGACCTAAATCTGTTTACACAGTCACGTGTGGGGACTGGCCTCCCTTATGGGGACATAATGGAGGTCCCCATGACGATAATCATAAATGTTAGGGTGAAGACTTGGTTAGGGTTAGGGTTAGGGTTAGGGTAAGGGTAAGGGTTAGGGTTAGGCATGTGTTGGTTATGGTTAAGGTTAGGATAAGTCTCCAGGAAATGCATGTAAGTCAATGTAATGTCCCCTGAAGTGATGTATACATGGTGTGTGCGTGTGTGTGTGTGTGTGTGTGTGTGTGTGTGTGTGTGTGTGTGTATGTGAATGTGTATGTGTGTGTGTGTGTGTGTGTGTGTGTGTGTGTGTGTGTGTGTGTGTGTGTGTGTGTGTGTGTGTGTGTGTGTGTGTGTGTGTGTGTGTGTGTGTGTGTGTGTGTGTGTGTGTGTGTGTGTGTGTTCTGAAAAACACTTTAAATGAGCCCTTTTTTATTTGATTTGATTTTGTTAAGGTACAGTGTAACTAAAAGATATTTTTTCTGCATGTATAAGATCAATTCAGCATTTTATTTCTCACTTCTTGTTATTAATATGCCAAATGCATTCAATTTATTCCTCTATTCAAATGATAAGAAGGCCAACATGTGACCTGGCTGTTTCTCTTTGAGTGCGTAACATTCAGTGCCGCCTGGGAATAAACTGTACATTATATGCGTTTTATTTTATTACTGATTGGATAAATACAGATGTAGAAAAACTTGAGGAGAGAGTGTCATTAGCTGGCAGTAATTCTCAGAGAAAATACGGCACAATGTGCTCGATAAACAGAGATGCTGTCCGACTTTGTGAAACAGGAAGAGGCACTGTCAGAGCATTTCAAAGATTGATTGTCGATGTTGTGTAAAAAGCATTTCAGCAAAACATATTTTGAAAAGACGTTACCCATCTCAGCTTTACCTAACATGCCTGAGTAAGAACTTCCTGTGCATCACCACCATTGTAAAAAGACTGTGGTTTGATGACGGTAAGAATTAACCAGATTAAGGAGTTTCCCCTGGAAAAGTAATCATAAAGTTTCCAGAGCTGTTGTTGTTACTGACTCAGAATAGACTGACTAAGATTGTTGTAAGTCATTTACATGTGCTTACATGATTGAAGATGTATTTACCGTAGCAGTGTGTGTCATGCTGTTGGAGACATGTGTTGTGTGTGCTGTGATCATGATGGATATACTTGTGTCTGTGTGTGTTTTACCACCAACTAATACATTACAGTAGCAGTTCTCTGTGCAGTAGTGCAGTTGTGTTAGTGTCGTTTTCTTGTGTTAGTGTCGTTTTCTTGTGTTTGATGATATGTGACCCGCAATAGCAAAATCAGTCAGGTGTCGCAACATAAACAAGGATTTATCTAATCTTTATTTAATCAGAGGGAATGAGAAGCAGCTGGGTGATTGGGTGATATAGATGATGAAGCTGTGGTTGGGAAGGGCAGAGGAGAAGAGAAAAGTGGAAGCACGTTTGGAAACGATGGAATGCCCCGGCGAATAACGAGTACGGCCAATGACACGCTGCTATAAATTCGGTGTCTGATCAAATACTTCTGTCTCTTGTTTGCTTCCATACTGGTGTTTTTCCAAATTATATTTTCAATGGTCACCATCTTAGTTTAGCACGCTAACATTTGCTATTGTAGTCCATAGTGACCATAAATAACAGCTGAAGCTAATGGAATTCCCTTAGCTTTGCATTGGTTGATCATCCGAGTGATCCTACAAGAAAATCAAAGCATTACAGTTTTTCCTCTGGGGAAAATGACCATGTCTGTACCACATTTCACATTTCACAGTAATCCAATAATCTATATATTGTATGAACAGTTTCACCCCAAAACCAGATGCACATCTGTGCAGCATTGAAGTCATTAGGGTTCATCTCTTGGGAACCATGAATGTTGTTGCAAATATATCTACAGTAGTATGTGTTGGGGAAATTGAGAACTTTATCTCACTTTAGTAACAAGAAATTAGCTAATCGTTTGGATTCATTTTCAGAAAACCAGTGATATTTTGTCATCATAATGGTGCTACAGAAAAAGTGAGAGATGTTCCTGAGGAATAAGGATCAATCCTACGGTGGACATGAACATTCATAAAAAAAACAATCCACCAGTTGTTAAGACATTTCTTTCCTTCTCTAGAGACATCACAATGTTGCTAAGAAATACCACTCATTCATATTGGCTAAGAGTTAGGGTTAGGGTTGTTTTGTTGGACCCACAGTCCAAAACCCAATATAGATAAAGTACTAACATCAAAGGGGCAACAAGGGTAAGTTCGGCATGGTTGCTAATATTTTTTTAAATACCTCATTTATTAATTGTTGCTGATTAACTCAAATCATATATTAGTTTATTAATGGTTTCAGCTCTGGAAATAGGAAAAAGTCTTCTTAGGGTCAGTGGGTTTCACGATTTACAATGTTGCCGGTTGGCATTGGTTTCATATGGTTACCCAGGAGGTTTTATCTCTTTCGGAATTGTTTATTATGTTAATGTGGATCCTTACATTTCTCATTGGAAACCTTTTCATGATGCATCTTGTTCATAATTCACCCTGAGGTGTTTTTTCACAGGAGGAAGAGAGAGTAAGAGAGGAGGGGGGAGTTTCTGAGTAGTGCGGTCACACAGCAGTGTCACACACACATGCAGGTCTGATCAAAGTGTGGCTACACACTGACTCTACTGTTACACTCCACTGGCTGCTCAACCTAGAGCCTGAACGTTGGATCATTCATCCTTCACCTCATGCAGAATTCCTTCGCCATTTGTAATTTCTCCGTTGCCTTCTGCCACAATGTCACATTTCACTTTAGCCTTTAACCCAAAGCATCAACCAACGTCCAATCCAAACATTTTCATTTTGTTTTGCCCTTTGCAATTATGTTATGGTTAAAGGTGGGGTAGGTCATTTTGGAGAAACCAGCTCGAGTGCGCTAGAATTTGAAAATACACAGCCGGAAAAAATCTGCCACTTCCTTACAGAGCACCTCCTCCAACACACACAAACGCGCACATGACCAATGAGGGCACGAGATAAGTTTGTGCACAGATGGAAGGCTGACAGGCAGGTAGGCCATCCAGTTACTTTAGCCGGGCCGGTTCAGATGATTGGTCGTGCTTTTTACAGTGCTACGGCTTCCACTGATGACATTTTTTAATGGATTTTTTGTCAAAGCACTTAAGATATTCATTGCTATCGGGATGTTAAGAGCATTCCATGGAATAAAACAAAAAGTGTATCTCGAGCCGGTTTCTCAAACTTACCTACCCCACCTTTAAGTTACCGTTAATACAGATGGTTGTGACAGACATAGGCTATTACAGGAAACAAACTATAAGGACCCCTATGACATTCTGAGGTAAATATATACACTGAAAAAACTGAAACTTTGACTTTAATAAAAATGTATTATGTCAACAAGTTTCACAACACTATATTAGGTTAGTTGAAAGCAATAACATTCAGTTTAAATAGGATCAACTTAATATTATCGCTTTCAACTAACCTAATACAGTTTTGTGAAACGTATTCACATAATACATTTAATTAAAGTCAACGGTTCAGTTTTTTCAGTGTATGTATATACTGTATGTATATTTGATCAAATCCAGGAAGATTTGGGCTAGGTTGCACTTCACTTGTTCCTGGTATTTTGTACATCCTTTGGAGTCCCATATTTAAAATTCCTACAACATGTTGGCATCAAATATCCACAAATTTGCCAAAGAAAATTCCTGACTCTGGACTCAAAACAAACATGTTTTCCAATGATTCATGCATCCCTTTGGGTGATATATTACCGCAGTAAATTTCCTCTCCTCTCCCTCCCCTCTGACCCAGTCTTGCCCAATCCTCCCCACAGGGTCCGATGCCAGTCACATCATCTGGGACGTCCAGGCAGAATATATAAGCAGCAGCCACTCCTGCATGTAGACATCCTTCTGAACTGAAACCAAGAGCGATTACAGCTACAGAGAATCCCATTGATTATATTCAGGATTTAAGAGAAGTAGGAAAGAAAAAGAACAGATCTGGTTCTACAGAAAACTTGTAAGTTTGTTTTAAATGTTTTATTTGAATGTGATGAACTGTTTTAAATCTTTAAAAAGGTTTTCTGTGTTATAATAGCAGGGCCGTGGGAAGTCGGGGTGCTGAGGGTGCTGCAGCACCCCCTGGTGGAGGACAGGGGATCTGCACTTCCACAAGATTAAATACAAATATAATACAAAAAAAAAAAGAATTTTCTGCCTTGATGAACAACATTCATAATTAAGTAAAGATAACACCCTTTTCACCCCGGTTACATTTTCCATTTGCCCCGTACGATGGGCGCTGTAAGTGATGAAAGTGGGGGATGTTGGCTTATCAGGCGCTCGCAGCTCACACAGCGTGAGAGAGAGAGAGAGAGAGAGAGAGAGAGAGAGAGAGAGAGAGAGAGAGAGAGAGAGAGAGAGAGAAGAGAGAGAGAGAGAGAGAGAGAGAGAGGAGAGAGAGAGGAGAGAGAGAGAGAGAGAGAGAGGAGAGAGAGAGAGGAGAGAGGAGAGAGAGAGAGAGAGAGAGAGAGAGAGAGAGAGGGGGGGCACCGGTACCGGCGGGGAATGTTGTTAGCTTCTGCTGCGCTAACGGATATAAGAAGCTGTTTCTACAATAATGTGGAGGGAGAGCTCTCTGTCAGACTGAGAGGCTCAGTGAGGTAAAGGACTCTGAGTGTTTAGATAGTTCACTTTAGTCTAAGTTATCTCAGTGGGTCTCAAACGTTTTGATCACAATTGATGTAAACAAATATTTCCAAGGCACTCCTTTATAATTATTAGGATAAATAAAAACAGATTTTAAATCATTTCAATGTATACTATAGGACAGTAAACCAAAAATATTGTTTAAAACTGGAGAGATTTAAAATAAGCATAAATAAATAAATGTTAACTGATAAAATAAGATATAAATGAACCACAAAAATAAAACAAGTTAGCCTACATTTATTTGTTATTGGCTATGGTAGGTTATCGGTTATGTTCACATGCTTATTTGATTATTAAAATGCACACCGATCTTTTTCATATGGGTGTTTTAGAGTTGTATCCCCTAGATCAGTCTCTAGTAATTGGGCGCTCAAAGTGCACCAGATTGAAGCATTTCACTTTAAAATGTTAAAACAAATCTTCCCGGGGGGGCACCCCCGGACCCCCCTAGAGGATGTGAAGTCCATCCCCAATTAAAACATGTTCATGCAATACTAAATACATTTGAAGCCTTTTTATATAAGCTGTCCACCATATCAATACGTTTCTCTGTTTGTAGTGTAGTGGTCTTTTGTAGAGGTTTTTCATTGCCAGCTAAAATCTTGCCTATGGCAGCAAATTGGTCAAAACCGGCCCTGGTGTCATCCCCACAGCACCCCCCATTTGAAACATGTTCCCACGGCTATGTATAATAGGTATGTGAATATGTATGTCGTTAGAAAACATGTTTTAATTTGTATTATATATACACCTTTTTGAGGATAGTAATTCTCCACTGTACATCATATTTCTATACCCAGTCGCTGGTAGTGCGTTGGCAGGATATGTGAATGTGTTGTTCTTTGTGGATTCCCTCCCTTGCAGACAAGAACCAATCAGAGATGGAGCTTCTGACAACAGCCTTAGTCATCGCTATCCTGTCTACAACAGCATCCGCTAAGCCGGTAAGCTAACCACAAAGCAACATATACAACTTCCTTCTTCCTCCTCCCTCACTGATCTTTCTTTCTCAACAACTGTGCCTGTTGTATTTTGTTTCAATTACTTTCACAACTGAGGTTTTCAACCCTGTGCTACAGTAAAACTGATTATTGCTCTATTATGAATACGCACCGATTCTATTTGAGGTATTCTACTAATGTAATTATTCTATGGTGAACGAATTAAGGCATTTCCCTTTTAAAATATCCCCCCTGCGGATCAAATGTTTTTGTTTGTCGATGAAATACTTGCATTACACAATGAACACAAGACTTTTGCATTTAGTCGGTTTTACAGTTAAGCCTCTAAAATTGCTACATTATGAGTTACATGTTGGGTTTGTTGCACCCAACACATTCATGTCATGTGCTGTAACTATGTAACTTTTCTGAGGACACAATGTACTTTAGGTTTTACATTTGGTTAATTGTTACCCACATTCATTTACAAATAAGTAGATCAGCTGATTGGCAAGCAGAACTTAAATTACCTTTTAATTAATTAGTTTATACTTAATATCCTCTGTGTTTGACAATTATTAGGTCAAAAATAATAAGTGCTTTATCTGCCTGAAAAGAGAAATTATGTTTGCAATATCACGTCAATTCTTATAGACATTTAGGAAATTAACAAGAGGATTGTGAGTTTTAATTGTGTAACAATAAACAGTAATGTGAGCACTCCCTATGTGACTCTCTGACTTGTGAATACTTGTCTTTGCATACGTAACCTAATATAAGCCCAGAGCATTTGGTTTCACACAGGACACAAACCTTATGACAAAGTTGATAAATGAATATAGCTCTGCGATGATTGCTCATCAAACCTTCAGTATGACATTGGTGAGGAAAAGGTGGCGTTGTGTTTTTAAACTAACTATATTTCACATCTTGCTATGCATAGCGTAACGGACACCCTTTACATTGTAACTAAACAAAAATCATAAGATGGCCCTTTATTAATAACCAAGGGGAAATGCATGTATCCACTCTGTTGTTGTGTACACACACATTACAAATGCATAGGACCTATACAAATATGTATACACATGCACTTTTTATGGAGAGGTGCCAGAGAGAGAGAGTGCCAGGTTCTCCGGCAGCTGTTGGGGGTTCGATTCCTTGCTCAACGACACCTCGGCAGTGCCCAGGAAGTGTATTTTTTGGTGAACTGGCACCTTTCCGTATTTTTTTGTCCAGTCGTGACGTGAACCAGCAATCCTTCAGTTCCCAAGTCCCTACAGACTGAGCTGGATACATGGGTTTGGATGTCAAGATAAGACTTTATTTACCCCGAAGGAAATTGTTGTGCCAGAGTTACAAAAATACAATAAACACAGCAGCATAATAATAAAACTGTACACTAAAAGTGCAGTAAAAAGAGCAATTCAATATCTCCAGGAAACATAGACGGTCACTTAATTAATGTAAATATTAACAGTATTTAGTAGTGCAAAAAACCGTAGTGGCAGATACGTAATTGCACGTCAAATGGGAAATTGTGTGCTTTAACACCAACAGTAGCAGTAACAACATATCTCTCATTTTCTATTCCCTCCCTAGATTGGTTGGCGTTGGCATCAGGATGCTGACATCGCTGAAAATGACCAGATGCAAGGACGGCTGGGGATGAATCGCAGGGGGTCTTCGTGGTCTGCAGAATCTTCGAGCTACAGTGACTCATCTTCAGAGTCGAGTGAGTCACTGGAGTCTGAATCTAGTGAATCTTCAGAGAGTCAGTCTTCAGAGAGTCAGTCTTCAGAAAGTCAGTCTTCAGAGAGTCAGTCTTCAGAGAGTCAGTCTTCAGAGAGTCAATCTTCGGAGGAGTCCTCTGAGGAACGTCCATTCACCGATCAGACAACTATGGGCGTGACCCCCACTGCCATGACAACCATCACTAATGTAAAAAGGAGTACACCGACCCCTGAGCCAGACACAGGGAGCACAGATGGGCCGACTGATTCAGGGAAAACAGTCCTGCCAGCAACACCGACCCCATCTGATGGTACCACGTCATCTGGATGTACTCAGTGTTTTACCTTGACGATTCCAACGGCAGTTCCCATCACAGAAGCAAGAGGAGACAACTAACCAACGGCATTCATATGCCAGTCAAATGTAATCCTTCTCACATGTCTCTTGTGTTGTTATGACGTTAAGTATCACAAAGATTTCCATTCTATAAATGTCTGTTACGCCTATGGCCTGCTGAATAAAGCCCTTACATTAGCAGTTTTATTAGCTGGGCAAAATTTCCAAGGAAAATCAAAGGTGGCGCTTTCAGATAAAAAAATACCTGCAGTTACTGCTTTTCGCCTTAGGAACTGTCATTAAACCCCATTTGCCTTTATCAATTCACAAAGTATGAAGGTCAACATATATGTAAAGATCAATAAAGCCAGAAATGTGAAGTTTCTCTAGACTTACTACCTAACAGTATCAAGTAAATAATGTCCTTTAATGACCACTAGATGCTTGATAAAAAAAGCAAGTTAGCATCCATATAGACCTGCAGTGTGTAAAGCTGGGGTAGGTAAACCTCTTTAAAAAAAAAACGTTTAGTTAAAAATTCTCTCTACAACACTACAGCATATAATACATTTGGAGCTATGACAAAGACACATTTATATCGGTGGCTGTTAAATGTATTCAGCCTGAATGAAATGGTTGGACAGTCAACATGCCCGTCAACTTGGGCTCACTGAAGCTAACCAGCCATGTTTATTATGATGTTCATAATGAATATGTTGAGTTACTGATTTTGGAGGGAGGTCTAAGAAGACTGACAGTTATGCCAACTTTCCCACTTTCTCACCAGATTATGTGACTTTTAAAAGCTAGCGCTGCTAGCTTCTTTGATTGGAAAAGAGTTAACAACATTCAATTGTGAGTTTTGGTTTAATCAATTGCAGCACTTTGGTCAACTCTGTTGTTTTTAAATGTGCTATATAAATAAAGTTGGATTGGAATTGAAAATCGTATGAACTCTTTCTGGCTTCTCCAATGTATCAAGAGATAGAGACCAGATCAAATAAATATGGTTATAGTATATGAATACAAATGTTGCTCAATCATGTTTACCCTTAGGTATTACCCAATCAAAAAAGTACCAGCAGGATTATTTGGTTGATTTCTTTCAGTGTGTCAAAATAGTTATTTCTGTTTTTCTTCATAAATCTGTTTGACGTATAGATCTAATTCTTTTGTAAGTATATTGTGTAGCACCTGTTAAACAAGCTTGTTACAATAAGTTTTACACAACATTTTACAGAAAAATCCAGAGAATCCAGAGTATGAAACCCACAGTAGGGTGAGTCCTGTTGTTCAGCATGTAAAGGCATCAGACGAGAGCAAACAACACAAACTGAGTTATTGCCACAGTGGGTTGGATAATTATGGGTTGTGAATTTATATTTATAAAGCTTAGAGGGCTGGATAAAATACCTTAATGTTTTTCGTTTGTTTTTTAACTGAATCTAATGTGTGTAATTAATTTGTTGTAACTGTTCTGTTTTTTCTTCTGAAGGAAAATTAAAAGTCTTAATTACAATGAATTTTTCATATTTTAAACATACTTTATTTATTTATTCATTTAGCTTGTGACGGTGAACTTCTTCCCGTATAAAGTAACCCATTTATTTTTGTATCACTCAATTTATTGAACAAGTCAGAAAGATAGAAGTTTATACTGTACGGTATAAATATGAAGAAGTCATTCATTTATGCATGTGTCTGACAGATGTACGGTATATTTCAGATTTACCAGGTCATGTTACTTTCCTCAAGAGGAATATATCCATGCAACTCATTATTTTCATTGTATGTGTCCACCTATTAGGGATTTCTGGAATTTGATTTGTGGTGCTCAGAGCATAGGACAACATCCAGCAACACATATACCCCGAAAACATATGTATTACCAACAAAAATGTGGTATGAAATCTAGTGGAGAGACAAATATCCCAAAGTCACATACAACCAAAACCCTCTGCGCAGTGCAAGCTATGCGAGACACAGGTTGTCATGCACTGTAAATATAACCAATCTACTCATATGACTCATAAATGTCCTGCTCTAGTGTCTTTAAGGAAGACGTCCTATTGTACTGGTCACGTGCTGTATCTATTAGAGAGATTGGCCTTTAAGTCTTAAAATATTTTTCAAAATGCTCCAAAAAACTAAAGAAGCTCTGATCACTGCTAAAAATCTGGCTCTATTATTAATAACAAATACAACTCAATATCTTTAGACCAGAACATGCTTATATTTCAGTGAATCGGCTCCACCTAATGGAGAAAGTCATTTATTACCGTCTATATTGATTTCCAAAAAGGTTTCTAGCTGATAAATGGACCTGTTCAACTCTTAGCCTGACAATGCCCCTGTAAACAAAGCTTGGTGAATAAAGAAGTGGATGTTTCACAGTTTGATGTGAAGGAAGTTTCAAACTATTCTTACAAATCCTCACCAGCACAGGTCACACTTTCTGAACTCTTTACCAAATGGTCCAGACAGGGGCCGTTTCTCAATCTCGAGGATTCTGGCTTCCAAGACAATATTTCAAGGATGCTACGTCATCGAGTGCCGCCGAAGGACTGTTCCAATCTCCAGCGTTGCTATCAGAAACAATGCCCGACTGTTTTGGACGTAATATGGTCGGTGTTTACATTAGCATCGCTAACACTCAGAGCTAACCTGTACAGGAGAGCATGTGTGTGAAGAAGTAGGAAATAAAAAGGAACTCACCTTGTGGTATAACCGGCAAGAGAGAAAGCCTTTGAGCTCCAAACTGTTTCAGAGAAAATCCTTGATAATCCATGATATGGCGTTTCATCAGCGCAGTATTTAGTATCTGCCGGGTCCCGCATGAGCTCAGTCCCCTCCTTTTTTGTTTTTAAAGCTTTATACCCAAAAATCAGTACTTTTGAAACAGGAAGTGAAATAGAGGGATATGAGGCATGGCTAGAATGGCTGATCTGTTTGGTATTTTGAGCAAAACACTTAATTGACATGTTTTTTATATTTTTTTAGATATTTGAGACCTATGCTATTGCCTAAAAATAGCATGATAGGTCCACCTTAAAATATAAGGTGTTTTAGTATTTTCAGTTTTGGCAACCAAAAGCTGATGCCTGGTTGCCAGCCTGGCAACCACTTTCAAAAGTTAGCGTTGAGCCCTGGCATTTTATCAGCTGTGAAAATAAAGTGACAAAACTGGTTAAATGCACTCCATGGTTTGCATGCTAGCAAAGTGTAGTTACCCATATTAACTGTACGTAGGTCTTACTAAAAAATATTCGAATGCTAGCATAGATTAGCCTAGCAACACCCTGTGGTCATAAAGCAGTTTCGCAACAGCTCTCAGTCTCCCAGAGTCCCATCATGTCGCTGTAATAAACGTCCTGATCAATAGGAGCATTGTTTTAGGTTTCAGATGCAGCAGTTAAGTCAAATCACCTGCACCAACACGCTAAGAAACAAAAGCTAGCACTGTTCCTTTTCCTATAAACTGTTGATAGGCTGGATCCTTTGGTTAGCTCTTCAGAGTTGTGACAAGAACATCAATCTTAACACATTATAACCTGTCTTGTCTTCCCACCCGAGGGGCTTCACTGCTGCAGTTTGGGGGATCAGTAGAAATGAAGCCTGTAATCAGTCTGAACTCTATGTTTATGTGTCTATACAGCATTTGACAGCAGAGATTACTTTAACAGATGAAAAGATAAAAATGAAAAGTGCTTCATTATGAGAAAGTCACTCTTATATTGCTGGTTGTTCTGAAAATATCTGCCTTCTGACGACACTAGCAGGTGTGCACTCCAGCCAAGACTTGTTTAGCCTAGAGTCAGGAGGCCTAGCTTAGCATAACAACTAAACCTAGGTGAAAAAGATCTTAAAGGTCACCTATCATGCAATTTATAGGCCATAGCATAGGTCTCAGATATATACAAATGTATAAAAAACATGTCTATGAAGTGTTTTGCTCAAAATACCAAACAGATCACCCATTATGAGGCATAGCCATGCCTTGTATCCCTCTATTTAACTTCTTGTTACTAAAGTGCTGATTCGGGGTATAAAGCTTTACAAAAAAAAAAAAAGGAGGGGGCTGAGCTCATGCGGGACCCGGCAGATACTGTCTAAAATAAATGCTGCGGTGATGAAACGCCAAAACCACATCAAGGATTATTTCTGAAACAGTATGGAGCTCAAAGGCTTTCTCTCTTGCCGGTTTACTACAAGGTGAGTTCCTTTTTATTTCCTGCTTCTTCATTCATGTGCTCTCACCAGTAGCCTACTGATTAGCTCTGAGTGTTAGCGATGATTGCTAATGTAAACAAAGACCATATTACGTCCAAAACACGTCGGGCATTGATTCTGATAGCGAGTTTCTGGCAGGGCCGTGGGTCCACCACGTGGGTGCCATCCGATATGACATAAATAACGTCATATCGGATGGCAAATCTCGATCAGCTCATTGTAGCCCCGTTTTCAGAGATTTGGAATCACGGAGGAAAAGAGAGAGGGTTTTATTGACACTTTGTGAGTTCCCTGACACGCCGGGGACACATTTATATATAAAAGACATCAAAAAGAGCATTTTGCATGATAGGTCCCCTTTAAACAAACGATTGTGGTGACCACCTATTTAACCACTGGGACATAATTCAAACTTGGAACTACAGTTGCGGTTATTGTTCCCACACGGACATGTTATGGGTTACCTATAAATAGTGTGTACCCTCTTGGCTCTCTCTTGTCGACCCGGGCTGCGACCCGACAACATGTCCTTTACAGCTTGTGAATAAATTACTATTCTTGCACCTTCCATGCACCGCCTCTGACTCCATATCTCTCGGCACTACACTGGTGACCCTGATACGTCTTGAGAAGTTTCCGGGACGGAGCCGAACACGGCAAAAGGAACTCGAGTTCCTTTCTCGAAATGCCGGGGTTTGATTGGAGACGTCCGTCGCTGCCACCGGCACGCGGACTGAGGCTCGGTGCGCGCTCCGCAGAAGGCTGGAGACGTTGCTCGCCGTTCCTGCATCGGCTTTCTATCCAACGGGGGGACGATGCACGACCTGCTGGGTCGACCAGCAACCCCATTGCTACTTCATGGGTTTGTTCTTCGGGGCGTGCGGCTGCACGTCCCGGCTGCTAACCACGTGGGGCTAACGACGGCTGGCAGCTACCCATGGCTGGCAGCTAGCGGCTAACCACGTGGGGCTAACGACGGCTAGTGCTAACGGCTATCAGCCCTTTTGAGTTTGTTTTTTTCTGGTGCCGGAGAGGAGGTTCGACCAGCTGGTTGACCTCATGTGGACACTCTCACCTTTTTCACCACCTCCACGGCGGTTCCAGACGCCACTCACGTTTTCATCGTCGCCTGGGTGGTGCACTCCTGGACCTCGCCTCGACGGTTTTGGACGTCGCCCATGCTGCCATCGGCCCGTGGGTGGCGCGCTCCGGAGCCTATCTGGCCTCTCCTGCCTTCCGGGGATATCCAGACGCCACTCACGTTCATCGGCGCCTGGGTGGCGCACTCCTGGACCCCCTCTCGCCTCGACAGTTCCGGACGTCACCCATGCTCCATCGGCCCATGGGTGGCGCGCTCCGGGACCCTGTCTGGCCTCTCCTGCTTCCCATGCCTCAGCGCCTGCTGAGGACTTCATGCCCGCCGCCGCGGCATGTCTGCCTGCGGCCGGGTTGCTCTCCTGCTTCCCGGGGATACCTCGACATCTGCTGAGGACTTCATGCCCGCCGCCGCGGCACGTCTGCCTGCGGCCGGGTTGCTCTCCTGCTTCCCGGGGATACCTCGACACCTGCCGAGGACTTCGTGCCCGCCGCCGTTGCACGTCTGCCTGCGGCCGGGTTGCGCTCCTTCCTCCCGGGGGGACTGCTCCTCTCTTCCGGCGATACCTCGACGCCTGCCGAGGACTTCGTGCCCGCCGCCGTTGTGCGTCTGCCTGCGGCCGGGTTGCGCTCTTTCCTGCTGGGTTCTCCGCGACACCTACTGCGGCCCCCTTACGACGGCCCGCCCCCGGTGTGGGTGCCCTCGCCCTGATTAGGGCCCCTGCCCTCTCCTGCGGCCCCTCTTCGTGGCCCGTTCCATGGCCCGGTCCTCACCTGCGGCCCCACCCTCCTCGGCCCTTGTGGTGCTTCCTCCACGGACGTGGGGATACATATTTTTTTGCCATGTTTGAATTCTGGGGGGGCTTGTGTGGTGACCACCTATTTAACCACTGGGACATAATTCAAACTTGGAACTACAGTTGCGGTTATTGTTCCCACACGGACATGTTATGGGTTACCTATAAATAGTGTGTACCCTCTTGGCTCTCTCTTGTCGACCCGGGCTTCGACCCAACAACATGTCCTTTACAGCTTGTGAATAAATTACTATTCTTGCACCTTCCTTGCACCGCCTCTGACTCCATATCTCTCGGCACTACACGATGGCATTATTTTGAATAGAGCCAGGCTGTTTTCCCTGATTCCAGTTGTTATGCTAAGATAAGCATCATGTGGCTTATGATCCATACATAC